AAATCAGAGCAGAAAACAAGAGGATGCCCAACTCGGGGCAGACCCTGTGCCCGTGCACACAGAAGACATTGTAAAGGAACAGAAAAACGATCGTCAATCGGAGGAGGATGAGAAGACTATTCATCCCGGTGCAGATCCAGATCCAGTCAAGCCAGACAGCTAATCAGTGTAGATCTCTGGGCGAGGCAGTAGTTGGTAAACTTTTTCTTATTATTTTAAGTATTCCCAGTCAGAGTGAATGAATAAAGACCAGACTTCAGTGTTATAACTTGATATTATTTTTGATCAGATTAGTCATCCCATGAGTCAATCAACTTACTCGCATCGCTGTGGTTGAATTCGTCAGAGCTCTATGAAGCTATTTACAACGCGGTTAGCTAATGATTCAGTTAACTAATTGAAGTGATTAAGTGAAGAACATTTAAATATATATACATATATATATATATATATATATATATATATATATATATTCAGGGTAAATTGAATGGCGAGTATATAAGCATTCGAAATAAGTCCTTAAAAGCTGGCTTTAGTTCACCAATTCTTTCCTGGACACATGAAGACAAGCAATACGCATTATAGGATTTTCTTTGTGTGGATTCTCTAATTTATTTTATTTATTTTATTAATACTTTTTATTTTTATTTTTATTTATTTATTTATTTATTTATTATATTTTTTTATTTATTTTATTTATTTATTTTTTTTATCAATTTTTTCAGCGATATTTGGTTTATGTAGTGGTTTGATTACCCTTTTACTTTTATTTTTCCATGAAATATGCTTCCTATAATATTATTATATTATATAATATTATATTATATTTAAGCTTGATATATAAAGCTCAAATATAGCTTTATAATATATATATATTTAAGCTTTTTGTAATTATATTTTTGAATAATTGCTGAAATGAAACCCATTGGTATATATAAAATATTCTAAACTAAGAAGGAATGTAAAGAGGGCGCTATCTTGGTGTCGCTCAGTTTATGTAGCCGGTTTACCCATTTAGCACTATATGTAAATAATTACAAATAACTAATTATTTACATATATAAATAAGTTATTTAAATATTAAATTTAAATATTTAAATATTTAGTTGGCTTAATACCTATTTAGTCTGTATAGATTACTCACCTGGTGTTTGCAGGCGCTGCTGCTGCTGCTGCTGGTGCTGCAGACTCTCATCGAAGTAGACATTGTGGCTGCCGGCGGTTGTCCAGATGCGGTTGCGTGTGTTGGGCGGTGCAGCATCCATATTGAAATGCGAAGCACACGTTCAGCGTTTAGTTGATCTTAAAACGTTTATTCATTTTTTCCGTGTGATTTCCATTTTTTTTTTTTTTTCTATTATAATTCTTATTAGATTTTAATTATTTCTCTCTCGTCTGGCGTCGTGTTAAATTGCCAAGTGTTCAATTAATATGCGCTGGCTAACACTGAATGTGGTTCACATGGATGCGCACCACATGTTGCGCATACAAATGAAATCAATTCCACGTCGAGTTTGTATTAAATGTTTGCACGCATCCAATCCCCAAGCACTCCTTCAGCTCTGACCTATTCAGGCCGTTGCATAATTGTGCATAGTGTAAAATTGAAAGGAAAAATGTGCCAGAGCCAAGGCATTGGATAAATAGTTGTAGAATAAGGAGCACCACGGGCTGCCAACACCTGTACACGACTGAACTACCGACTGCCGGCGTATTGAAGCCGGGTTGGCGCCAGGCAAAGGTTTTTATAAGGCCGCCACGAACCAGCGCGACACAGCAACAAACAAATAACAAACAACAACAGCAACAGCTATTCGACAATGGCAACAACAAATCAGGCAACCACCATTAACTCCTTTTGCCATGCAAATGTGCTGCGGCAATTACAAGCCAACAACAGCAACAGTAACAACAACTGACAACAACAACAACTATGCGATTGTCTGACTGTCCAGCTCTGAATATAATATACTCGCAGGACATGTGAGGCATAAAGACTTCCGCATGCTATTGGCAGAGCCGGGCAGAGTATATGCATAAGCTACAGCTATAACTGCAACGAAAGCTAAATTGGTTATACTATATAATATATGTAGAATTAAATATCTTTAATATAATGTAATATAATATAATATTATAAATATATATGTACATGTACAGATTATCCTCTTTACAATTTGGCATTGTAATTTTTACAGCTAATAAGCTTTAATATATGGTAAGCTAGGGCTCTAAGGTTTCGGCTGTAGACATAAGCTGTTGCCTGATAGTTGGCCTAAGTCCTCGACTTATCTATCGATAATCTGTTGATTCAAGTTTCAGCTAGAAAAAGTTGGCTTACCACTAAGGAGTGAATCATAGAGTAGGCGTAAATATTATCTATTATTACAAGATTTACCTGGTACATCAGTATGTATGTAAATTAAGTTACTTACTTTATCCAAGTGCCTTTTTATTTGAATGCATATATAGCATTATTTATTATTTACATTTTGCTAAAATGTTCGTAATATAAATATCAACAAAAAGTATTAAAATTACCAAAAAATATATTTATACAATAAATACTAAATATGGTATTTACACCTTTGTTAAATATATAATGAATATATACAAACTAACTGGTTTAAACTACCTTTTATTACATAAATACTCATTTGCATACATTTGCATTACTTAGCAAAAGGGTATTTCAAATTTGTTACTATATAAACTTGTATTTTTCCAACAGTCCGCGGTGGCTTAGATTGGCAGGCGAGGGAGGGGATGGGTGAGCACAAATCAAAATAATGTCCAGGCAAAAGTTTCGTAATCTGGGGGGAAAAAGTCCATTAGAATTGTAACTTTGGGGACGGCCAACTACATATAATTGATAAACGTATGTACTGTGTGGGATATATGGCCAATATAGGTAAGCGCCATGATTAATGGACGGGCATTGCCCCAATGCCTATTTTAGCTGGCCTTCAAACGCAAAATAATAATAATTAAAAGCCAACTTCTATACACTAATATACACATCTAAATATGTACATATATACATATAGGCCTATAATACTGAACGATATTTAGCCAAGGCATTCGCATGAGCTCGACCTAACTTTGACATACTTTGTGGGCTATATAGTGCGCCTGGAATCAATAACTATTATCGATTTGCGGCGCGCGCCAGGCAACAGACGGGCAACAGCTAACAAACACCAAACGATATAAATGCAGTCTACAGACAAAACGCGCATACGCCCCCTGCGCCAGCCCACTGAATGGCTTTCGCTCTGCGTGAGTGTGTGCGCGGAAGTGTGTGTGTATTTACCCACATCAGCTGTAATTAGTTTACACAGCGTGCGCACAGAATTATTATTAATAAGCAAATGCATGTTTACATGCTGCACCCCATTGCCCATTGGCCATTTGCCTTGTTGGCCAAAAAGAAAAATGTACTTTTGACATGGCGTTCGCGTCGTTTGAAATGCGAGTTCAAAGAACTTTACTTTAGCTTACATTATTTCTACAGACACATAGACACACATATTTTAGAGCCACATGTTAAATACTCTGCATGGTTTGATTTCAAAGAGAGTATATAGGTTTTCTAAAAATATTACTAAAATTGAAATTTTTCACTTGATAGCCTTTAATGTAGACTCAATATATAGCAGAAGTTTAAGTTATATCTTATGTCCAGTATGTAAAATATTTCAGAAATTTCAGTTATTTATTATATTAACTATAATATTAAATATTACAAAATATTTTCCTCAGACAACGTTGAATTGTCATTGATCGATCCCACAAATGTGTTGTACTCGTTCTATACAATAAAATATTAATAGTAATAATAATAAAAAAAAATAAAATTAAAATAAAAATAAAACCTATCCCAAGATCTAGTTTAACTAAAAACTTACTCAATTACGATATTTATAAATAGCCCTGACCAAATGTTCATGCCTAAGCTCTTGTCAAGTGTGAAGGCAACTTATTGTGTCCGATAACCTGCGCCATATCAACTATACAGAACTCTAAGTAATTAATAAAAATGTCATTCCTTAGCTACAACGCACAAAAGACTGCAGCCGATAGGAATGCAACGGAGCCTTGAACAGAGACAGAAGTACAAACATGAGTTCATATCACGTTAATGTCAAATGTGACCTTTACTGGGAAGTAGTAGCAGCATTTCTATTTATATACAGTCTATACGCAGAGCTGACTTCTACCAACAAAACCCCACACTTTAATGAGAATAAATGATTAAGATACTACAATGATTTCAACAACTGCGGAAATACAATTCTACAAAGTAAAATAAATTTGGCTTAGCTTAGGCACAGTTTCTTTCACTCTAACCAGCTCAAGTTAAATGAAAAATCTTAAAAAGTATTAACTATATAGATCAATTATCCGTTTGCCAAAAGTAAGGCTTCTTACAAGGTCTACCCACAATTTCGAACAATTACAGAGTATTGCGCAGTCAGTTGCAGCTTGCTTAAAAAATTTATTTTGTTCACGACATTTTAACAAAGCTTTTAAAGTTGTTACATTTTTTTCATTTCTTGTTTTTTAAAAACTTAAACTAAGTACATGCATACTATACTTGACTTTACATGAAAATTAAGTGGAAAGCAATATTATTTATATTTTCATCTTTTCTAATTTAATTTTTTTTTTTTTTTTTTTTTATAAGCATAAACGCAGCGTCAGTATTTGCAGAATTTGTTGTAAATGCTAAACAATTAATTTTACATTTATGGCTATTCAATGAGTGTTTTGCATTTAGCATTAGCATTAGTAATAATATCAAACATCTTGATTATTCATACTTAAATATTAAAATGCGTTTTATGTGCATATAAAACAGCTAGTCTACGAAGTATACAAAAGATAATCAAAATAAAAATAAACAATAAAAGAAAAACCCTAGACAGTTTGGCCTGCCATTCTGTGGTGGGTGAAACGTGTCGCTGTGGAGTAAAAATAAAAAGAAAACAATGATTTAATAAACTTTAATAATATATATAATTATGACAGAAGCGTACATGTATTTGTATGTCAGGCTGAGGGTGTTTCTAGAGAGGTTTTATAACCTTAATAACTTAATTAAAATATAAATTTAATGAGTAACAAAAAACTTGCATTCGACTTGTAATATTTTATAATACTTTAGCTATCATTAGACATATCAAGATCTCTTGATTTATCTCTTCATATGTCAATATTTACAAATTCAATAGATGGAGTAGACCTTATGAACCTGGAAGCTCCTTATACACCAAATGCAGCTAAGTACTATCATATATAATATCATTTATATATTTAATATCATATACAAATATGTTTAAATATAAATCAATATTTATTTTAATTATATATGAATATTTTAGGTTTCTAATCTGTAAAACAGTTTAACAAATAATCCAAGTGCAATATTGAACAATCCAGATATAAAAACTCTAAATATATTATAACACTATACAAAATAAAAGATGTATTGTAGAAAATGTATTTAGTATTTAGTTGAATTCCCCTGCACATCAACTTTCGCTAAACAAAAACCTAATTGTTTTCAAAGAGGCATACACTAAATACTTTTCATTTGAGGCTAATTCTAATACTCTACGTAGTTGGCTTTGAATCGCACGTACACGTACTGTTTAAAGCATACAAAGCTAGTTTTAGTCAGCGTAAATATTCGTAATGAATAAAAGTAAACAATTACAAATTTTGGAAAACTCGGGAAAAAATCGTCGAAAACTGTATACAATTTGAATTTTCGTTTCCGATCTGTATGGTCGGTGTCTGTTTTTCTGTTTTCTACTAAGCGTATAAATACATCATATATTATAAAAGTAATTGGGAAAGGTACCACACAGTCTATACGATGGATGGTATGTTGGGAAATCTGAGCGGGCGATTCAAGCAGCTTCAGAATGTGGAGGGGAAGCGCATGGCCATTAAGCTGCTCGGATTCTACGCGATGGGCTGGACGCTGCGCAAGCTTATCAAATGAGTGGATCTATGTCACTAATCACGTTGCTAAATTTCGTGTGCTATGAAACAATAATAATGCTTACATCAAAATCACATGTGCAGAAGTTGGCATGGTTTGCTTGTTATTATATCATATATATGTATATGTAATATCCGGCTCTTCGTGTTGGAATTAGTCTTGTTTAGGGTTTGCTCTCCACGGAGTATTTGCTCTTGATCACACACTTGCAGCAGGAGGGTATCTTGAAGGGCTCGTTGGCCACCTCCGGCTGCCCGTTGCTAGCATTGTTGATCGTGGCCAAGTGCCGTATCACATAGTGCTGCTTGCACACGGGCACATAGTTGTTAGGAAAACTATCCAGAAACTGGCAGCCCTCGCCCTCGTGACTGCAAATTGAAATAAAGTATTTATAGAGCTATGTATGTATTTTTCCAGTAATTTCATAGTTCTACTCACTCGCACTCCTCGATAAGTATGCCCTGCTTGAACTCATCCGTATTGACTATGTACTGCCACGTCAGATCCAATTTCTGGCCGTACTTTGGGTAGAGGTACCTCTGGTGGCTGTTGCACAAGTACATCTCATCGTCGTTCATCCGCAGACCGAAATCCGTGGGCTGCGGCTCGTCGCTGAAGAAATTGGCAAAGCGACGCGAGAGAACGCCCTTCAGGCCGGATAGATCCGGATAATTGTTGACCTTGGTGCAGAAGGAGCGACTCTGATTGAAGCCGTCCATGCACAGATCGCCCGTTTCCACGGGCGTCGGCCGCGTGGGTCGATATTTATCTATGGAGTCGGGAAACACGATAACTGGACGTTAGGCAACCGCCAAGTGAGTTGAACGTGTTGTGTGAGCATGATATCGATTTAGTATTTGTTAATTGTATTATTGTATTAGAGAGGTGTTTTTTTTTTTCCATTTTTGTAGGTAGATACATATAAGGGTAGGTAATTAAAACATACATTAATGCACTGTTCACAAGCTTGTTGAGGGGGTATAATGATTAAATGGTAAATGAAATGGCAAAGGAGTGAGATAATTTACCTTTAGGGCATTAGTTAACGGACTTAATGAACACCGAGGGGTTTTATGAATGTCTTATGAAGTTTTTGATCTCTTGAAGTCCCTGATCTTTAAGAAGACTAATAATCGGGAAGTCTTTGAGCTTCAGGCATTCTTTGTTCATAGAGTCCAGATAAGTTTGTTGATCTTCTGCGATATTCAAGTTTCTGATCTTTATAAACCCCGTATTGTTGGTCAATAATGGTCTTCAGTTTGAAGTTTTTAAATATCCACTGCTAAATGTCAATAGAGTCTAAGCAAGTCTGACTGACCTTTACCGAGATTTGAGTCCCTCTTTAAGTACCCTGTGTATAAATTGGAAAGCGAAACAAATTTTTATGTTCTGTAACATAATTTTAAAAGTTTTAGAATCTCTGAGCCTAGCAGAAAGATAACTAAAATTGAGTTTTACATATGATATTCCCTAAATTATAAAAATACCCCAGTTTACAGTTTAGGAATGTGTGAAGATGCCTTATAGAGCACCTGTGAACAGTGTATTAGACAGTCGCTTGTAGCCGACTGTGCATCATTCAGGTATTACGCGTAGACCACTTACCATCCGAGATGGGACGACGCGGCTGCTGTGGCTGCTGCGCTGGTTGCTCCTGCTGCGTTTGCTGCTGCTGTACGGTGTTCTGTAAAGAGACGATCGGTTCATTAAAGACGAGATTCAGCTTGCCATCCGGTGATCGCTGCACTTTGAAGGACTGTTGCTGATGATTCAGGCTTTGATATTGATGATAGTGCTTGGGCTTGGCCTGAGACGTGGACTGAGACTGAATTTCACTTTGATTTTGAGTTTGAATCTGAGTTGGGGTGTGAGTGCTGGTTGTGGTGGATGGCCAGGACTCGGCTGTGGATATGGGCATGAGAGATGCATCATCGTTCATTGCCGTCGTCTGTGTGTGTAAATTTTGCATTAGTTTCTCTTCTCTTATTCTTTTTCTATTCTTTCTTTTCGTTTTACTTGTTTGCTAGTTCTAAAGCCAAATCAAAGAACGAACGAAGCACACACAAACACAGAGTGGGAGTTGTTAGTAGGTGATAGATGAATGATTGGATGTGGATGATTGTGGACTATGTTGGGGCATTGGCTGTCATGGTGGTCACCCCTCTCACTTACATTGAAAAGCATCACACCATGGCCATCGTGCACTTTGAATATGGAACGAACGCGCTCGTCAATATCCTCGGCGGGCAGCTGCAGCGAAAGTGTCGAAACGAAAAAGTTGGGAAACGCATAAATTTTTACAATTCATCAAACAAAAGCAACAAAAGCCCAAAGAACAATAAACAGAAAGAAGAAGAAGAAGAAAAGAAAAAGAACATTCAACATAATTATTTAAGCATTTAGGAAATTCAGGACAAAGCACAACTTGGCACACCTCCACCTCTTTGTTCTCCCGCTGCGGCTCCTCCGGCTGATCCTTGGAGGCCATGTTCAGTAGATGATGTGAGACAAAGGACGTCATATCCATGGAGCTGCTGTTCGCTTCTACAGCTACTGCAGCAGCTGCCTCGCTGCGCCGCTTCGATATTTCACTATTGATACAAACTATCTGAAAGATATATGTGGAACGTTTTGTTTTGTTTTTTTTTTTTTTTTTTTTCTTGGTTTGCGATTCGATAATAACATAATCCACTGTACAAAGGGTAGAGAAGGCACGCACGCATAAGATAGGGTATTAAATAGCGATGATTGTCGCGGCGAACTGCTAATCGTTTCCCAAACAATATTTCGCTTGGCAATGACAACAACAACAGCAACAACAACAAGAGCAGCAACTGCCATCCGCCGAGCCGCGCTTGTGTAATCACCATGTGTGTGTGAGTGTGTATGGGTGTATGACTATGAATGTGCCTTTGAGCATAGCTTATGATATACATATGATGTTATATATAGAGAGAGGGATACAGCAAGCATATCAAGAGAGAGAGAAGGGGCAGCACTACTTATAATAATACTTTATCCAAAATTTCATATTTGTATGCATACTCATCCGTTTCTATTACCGTAGTCATATATATACCCTATACATTAGTTATTTTAGCTTTGTGTATGATTATGCTGGACCTAAGTGAATCTCATTTTTAATTACAAAATTATATATCTGTCTGGTTCTCAAGTATCCAAATTAGCATACCGATTACGTATGCCAATTGGTAATAGCACCACTAGATGTCTGTCTAGTAGATTAGCTTGATTTCTATCTAGCTATAAATATGTTTATTTTTATAGAGTTGCTTTACTAAGTTATTTTCTTATTTTCTGGGTACTCTAAACATAGGGTGTCAACATTTTGTGAAGAAACGTGTAAAAATTGTATTTCGTGAATCTAGAGCTGTGACAACTCGATCAATCTACATTATTATTAATTCGTCTTATATATATGTATATAATCTCATTTTAAATAAGTAAAATAACTATATTTACTCAGTTCACTTTATCTAATTCGTTGAGCTCATTTAACAGTCGCTTAATTTGCTACAGCCCTTATAAGCCTCTAATATAATTATAATTTTTCAGCTATACAAAAAAAATATATGAAATAAAAATACTTCAAGTAATAACAATAATCTGAGAGAGGTACTAACACTATTGAAGAACATATGTTCTTCAATAGATTCAAGAATTTTGTTATTTATTCAATTTGGCTTGGGACTCAATTACTCAAAAATCAGGCACATTCGCCTTTAGCCTCCGCTCGAGATAAGCTTGATAATTATAGCTTATAGTAAATTGTCTCTGCTTATATTTTTAATATAATTTTGTTATGAGAATCGTCAATAATTAAAGTGAGCACAATATTGTTTTTGTTTTTTTTTTTATAATTGAACTTAAGTTTTTATCTGATTTCTGTTCATCTTTACTACCTTCTAGACATTGTATGATCTATAGATGTTTAATTAACATCCCTTTGGATCGAGCGCGAACTGATATACTATGTAAACTTGAACGGTTCCCAGACTAATATCAACTTGGCTAAGCTTTAGGTTTCCAGTTGAAATATGATTCCCTGCATAAATCAATATACAAATCGTGTGCTGTCTGTCGGATATGGGAAATGTTATAGCAAGTCGCATATTGAACAGGCATTTAGAGGTATTTAGAGAGTTGTTTGAAAATACAACTTGAATACCCTGCAATATGTAATGCGGTGATGGGATTGTTATATACACCAAATGCAAATGTAATGATTGAATATTATTAGAAATGTAAACCAATACCCACAATATTATTTATTAATTTTCATTTTCATTTAAATTTTGGCAAAGCGTTAAGCATAAGAATTAGGATAATTTTTTTTACAGCTCAAAACTTACCGTTGCGAAAAGAGCGAAGAGCAGCATCATAATTGCGATTATTTTCCACCACATTGGAGGCATTTTTATTATAATTTATTTTTAGTTTTGTTTTTATTTTGTTTTTATTTTGAAGTAACTTTTAGTATTTTTTTAATTCTATATATACAATAAATTGAAACTTTTTTTACAGGGTAACTGCGAGTCGGTGCTTTGCTTTAATATTTTTGTTTTCTTTATGCGCTTTATATAGTATATTTAATAAACAAACTGGCACGACTAAAATTATTGCCGGGTTTTATTTGCCCGCTGTTGTTGTTGTTTTTGTTTTGACGTTTTTATTTATTTTTTTTTTTCTTCTGCTTCTTCTTTTATATTATTGTAGTTGGTGTCGAAGCTGCTGTTGCTTGTATTAGTTGTTGTCAGTCGCCTCTTTGCGCAGTGTCGTTTATTCCGCTTTGTTTGTTTCCTTTGCACAGTGGCTGCCAAAAGCCAGCAACGCACTTGACACTTGCTCACTCTGCTTTTCACTATATCACCTGTCGATGCTACTGATTTTATATATATATTTAATTTAATTGTATCTTCTTCTTCAATATGTTGTTGCACCGCGCTTGACCTTGCCTAAAATGATGCCCTGCTGTTGTGATGCAAGCGCTTTTAAGCAGCCGTCGCGTCTGCTCCGCTCTGCTCTGCGCGCACGCTTATTTTTTTGTATTTTCCCAAAGGGGAAGTATTCTTGTGTAATTCGTGTGGGAGACGCGCGTCTTTGATATTTATCACTACTTCATTTCAGCTGCGGCGCGAGCGAGCGAGGTAGAGAGGATGAGAGGCAGAGAGAGTGAGAATGATAGCACACGACTAACTAACTAACAAGCCAGCACATACGCTTATCGTCGCGCGCGACAAGAAAGCAACTGAACGACAAGTCGAAAGTCTTGGCAATGCACAAGCTTTATGCAAAGCTTAACGCAAGCGTTCGTGAGAGGGAGTGAAAGAGAGATAGAGTAAGTGAGTGCTGAGCGGAGAGACTGATCGGCCGGCAGCGCCTTACAGCTGTTTTAGTGGCTTTGTGTTAAGCTTACAGCTGCTGAGACACCTTAACATGCCTAAGCTCACTTAACAGCTGTTTAACAGCTGAAAAGAAAAGTGTAGCTTTGAGCTCAAAAGCTTGTCAAATAGTTTCGCCAGCCGATTCAATTGAAGATAAGTACATACATACATACATGTATATTAATGTAAATTTAAGCACACTTCAAGCACGCGTCGCTGTCGTCAGCGGCGCAGCTACTTAGTAAATTCTCTATCCATTGGGAAAGATCATGATTCAGGGGAATATCCAGATCCATTGGCAAACCGCAAGACTCTCGTATAATAAAAGTCATTTATGGTGAATGGTTTATAAAGGGTGCACTGACGTAGCGCATACAAAGAAGTACACATATATACATAAATATATTTATTCATATGTATACACATACATACAAATAAGTCGTTTAGTCATATGAAATCTTAATGTACTGATGGCGTATTACGTGGTCTCGAATCTTGAGTTCTTACTGAATGAATAATAATACAGCTCACGTGCTTTCCAAGTATTTCTCAAATTTATTTCAATTCAATTCGAAATAATAAGAATATAATAATTATATAATCTCGACTTGGCCATATAGTTCAACGAATTGGAATAATATGCTTAACTCATATTTGCATATATGATATGATAAATATGAAACAAATTTTTAAATGCATATATAAATAATTAATTAATAAATGATTAATTAACAAATAATTCATTATATAAATAATCAATTAATTTATATGTAAATTTCGCTTAAAATTATAAACAACAAATTAAATTTTTTATTTTGCATACTCTTAGGAATCTCTAATTTATATTTGCATAGTTTTAGGTGTCTCTAAATTAGGAGTTAAAATTTAATCCAACTATCCAGCTGGCGAAAAAAAAACGGCTGACCTTTTAGAGCTTCCATTTATGCATAACCATGGCAACATTAGAGCCCATTAATCTAATGGACTCAAAAAATAATAGCACAAAAAACGCCCTAAACTGATTTCAACCATTTTGCCAAGGTGTTAAGTATTTGGCCTAAAGCACACCATTTCGTTAATAGTTATAAATTAGCTAGGAGATGACTCAATGTGGGCGCCATTAATTAATCAGACAGCTGCGAGATCAAATAAAAAAATATTTTCAGCAGGAAAATTATGAAATTTTTTCCGTCAATAAAATGATTGCCAATGAATAAGCTTTGCGCATTCAATGCAAATCAGAAAGAGACAAAAATAATACTAATAAAAAGCAAAATTCACGAAATACTCGTAAAGTAGTTAAAACCAGCTACAATTAAGTCGCCACCTGGAAAAATTATGCCTCCTCGTGTGGCAACAAAATGCAGCTCAAACCCAGCCGTGACAGCTGCGTCCGAAGAGACGAAGACACGCAACGCTGACTGTGACCAGGTGCTGCGAATCGAGCTCTGCTATAAATTCAATGCGAATGGAAATGAAATAAGTGAATGAAATGCCTGCCAAGTAAATACCCTAAGAGACTACTACATGATATGATATGATTGAATATGATGTAATACTAGTCGATCATTTCCTATGCTTATAGGGCTCTCCCGCACTCCAGTTGAACATAAAAACAGTTAATATTGTAGATAAATGGAAAGAAAGTCGAAAGACGAGGATGTATATTGTCAAATATAACGAGTGAAGGAATTTATAAGTTATTTAATAATATTATTTTTTTCCGAATCTTCTTTACTCTGTATTCTTCATCGTCTTCTTCTATTCTTTAAATATGTTCAGAAAAATAATATATAATTGTATATACATATGTATTCATCAGAACTTTGAGAAGCTTCCTTTCATATAAGGTTTAACTTTCTACAATTTCTCTACAAAAGTCACACAGTTTTATGTATTTTCCATAGCATTATATATATCATACATTTCCCATATGTACATACTATATATACTATATACTGCATCTATAGACACTTCTTTTAGCGTAACTGACATAATGGCAACACCCTCGTCTAAAAGTATCCTCACGGAGTAGCTGGCGTTTGGCAGGATGCTGCAGCCTGCAGCTACTTAATTTGTCAGCTAGCACTGGGCGGTTATATCATCGCCAGTATTGGCTGCCACATTTGGATGCACAATGAGAGTGCCAGTGGTCGATAGTCGATAGTTGCAGTCGTTGCATACGCGGAATGCCACCAAAGTTGACTGTGGAGCATCGCAACGATCTGGAGCTGGTGACTTTCACTTTTTTGCATTGGGCGCTAATTCGACTGCTTCGACGACTCCTGCCAGCTGCATGAGGCACACAGACACAGTTCAAACTCTGTGCGAAAATTTGATTATGCCATGGCGTTGGCCACTTCCGCCAAATGCCAAAAACCAAACCGAAAACGAGTTCATTTCCGAATTTCAATTTTATTTCTTTCTTATTTTTTTCGATTTTTGTCGCGCGACTTTGAAGTCCAATGTGAAGTTGAAGTTGAAGTTCATTGCGCAACGCGGCGACAGCAGCGCCATTGAACAGGAAGTGCAGGAAGTCGTGCAGGATGCCGTACCATTTCGTTATATTATCATTTCGTTTTCGTTTTTCTCTCGCTCATGCAACATGTTGCAAGTGCTGTCAAGGCGAGCGCACCCAGCCTGTTATCGCACTTCTCGTTACACTCTGAAAATTTTTCACTCCATCTCTTTTGCCATATGAATTTTTATTTGGCTTTTCAATTGCTGCACATCAATTAACGAAAAAAAAAAATAAAATAAAAAGAGAGCAATATGGCATATGGTAAATGGTTTGAAGCTCAGAAATAAAGAGAAACATTCAAATAATATGATAAATATTTTTTTTTAACAGTGTAAAATTGCATATGAAAGATATTTTGTAACATGCATTGCATTTCATGGATTTAAATGACTTTGTGTAATTCAATTTTGCACAGCTATCAATTTAAGCAATTTATTTTACTTTAACTAGTTTAAATATTATGGGAAACTTTTTAAAATATTATTTAATATTATTTTAATAATATTTAATCAAATATTAGATAATGAAAATAATACAAATGTTATTAAAATTATTAATAATATAGTTTTCAGTTAATTAATTGTAAATATAAATATTAAAATAAATATCTTCAATTTTGTATATTTTTTATAGCTTAAACTTTGCTCGGCGTTTAAACTAAATTTGAATGCTTCCTTCCTGCTGTTGCACTCAACCGGTCTCACGGTCTCGTAGACGTAATTTTATTTTATTTTATATTGCTTTTTTTTTTAATTTTTTTTATGCCATTCTTGCGTTTGCCATTTGTTGAACAGTTGAAGCGATAATTTCATTATTATTACTAGGCTTTTTATTTCTTTTAGTATGAGCTGATGTGCAATCAGTCGAAACTGATGGCCTGTTTCAGACGCAGTCGTTCGTTTAGCGACCATCGACCTGGTTGGCACACAGCTTTGTGGTCAAAACAAATTAGTGGGAGCCAACGTCTCGACTGGACGCGACTCTCGGAAACTCTGCACATGTTGCATGAGTTGTTGACAAGTCGATAAGCAGCACAATATAAAACAATTGAATTGACAAATTGTAGATGTTGCATGTGTGCGAGAGGGAAGCATAAAATGTGTACACATGCATATGTTTGTGTATGCATATATGTATATGTATAAATAAATATGAAATAGTATTTAAAAATTTCAAATTAAACCTCTTGGGATCTTTGGCTGCGGATTAACTGTGACTTGTGCTTGGCCGGCAAGCCAGCTGCAGCTTCTCGACTTGGGTTCAGTTCACAGTCGCTGCGCGATTATATGCCAACTGCAACGCTTAATGCATGAAAGACCTTTTTATACCCTGTAGAAATAGTTGACTGAGAGTGTATTAGTTTTGTGTGGGTGTAAGGAGGCAATAAGAGAAATATGCTCTCTTCTGATTTGCTTAATAGATAAATACTGGAATTCAGTTATCGTCGCTTCTCTTTTGTTTGATATGCTTTCTTTCATTTACCTTCTGTTTTTTAGTGTATCTTCTATAATCTCCCTTCTCTCTTTATCTTCCATCTCTCTTCTTTTCCACTCCTCTTCTGTTCTCTCTTCCTCTTCTTATTTGTCTCTTCTTTGATATTTCCTCGCTCTCTTTGCTTCTCTTTTGTGTCATCTACCTATCTTAGCTTACCTCTTTTAATTTACCTCTGTTAATTTATATCTTCTCGACTTTTCTCACTCTTCTCTATATATTCTCGTCTGTCTGATTCGACTGTCAATCTATCCGTTTCTTGACTTCCTTTTCTCTCTACTACCTTCTTTTCTAACTAGGCTCTTTCCTCGACCTTCTCTTTATTCTCTCTATTCTTATCATATATTTTCGGCTCACTAGTTTGTCTCTTCAGCTTGAGTCGCCAGTCTACCTTCATTCGATGATCTACTCTCTTCCTCTTACATTCATCTCTCTCAGATGCCTTGAAATACTCTCGAAGTAATGACAAATCAATTGCACAGGGTATCTGCTAGTCTAGCTACAATCTTCATCAACTCGTTATTGTGTTTTGATTTTTATTTGTTTTGGCTTCGTTTTCCACTGCATTTTCAGCAAATTTACAGTTTGTTAACTGCGAGTACATACATATTGTGTTTTTTGGCCAAGTTTTTCCATGTTTTTTCATTTCGCAGTTGTCGGCGCCCATTTCACTTTTTCGGTTAGATAACCGCCTTCCACACAGCTGACCAGGGTAGGAGCAGGCGCAGGCGCAGGAAGGTGACCAGCAGCAGCAACAGCAGCCGCAAGCAGCCAGCAGTGCGCTGCGTAGGACAATGACAGAAGCCGCCGCCGTCGCAGTCGCAGCTATTGTGCCAGCTTTTGGGCCCAGTCATTGCCAA